CGGAAATCAGAATTTCCAATAATTTTATATGTAATTCCAATTCCATTCCAAAAATAATCGGAAAAATCGGAAATCGGAATATCGAAAATTGGAATGAAAAAAATGGGTTCCAAAATCGGATATTTTAGGATCGGAATTGGCGGAATTCGGAAATTCCGTTCCAATTTCCATCCCTAGTCCTGAAATTAATATATAGTAGAGACTAGTAATTCTCTCAAAAAAAAGAAAAAGAAAAAAGAGAGACTAGTAATTAATATTTGTAGACTTTAATTGAAATAGCGTAAATTATTAAATATGTCCGAGATGAGTATATTTTCTTTAAATTAAAACTTTTGTTGGATTTTAATTGTACGATTAAGTGTAGAGTTGACTTGATGAAACACAAACATATACTAATAAAAGATAATAAAGAAAATGAAATTAGTGGATTGTAACACATGGTGGTTCCTCCACTATAGTCAATAGACCGTTGGCGATGTGGTGGCTGTTGTGTAATGCATAATGGGATGATGTTTTGTAGATATTAGACTCAGAGAAATACACATAATAATTCACACTCATGTGTATGCAGTGAGTAGTTATTTGTATAGATTAATGGTGCACGATTACCGACGACCGATGTATTCCACTAAATGTAACATCTCATACATCGATCATGAGAGGATCGTAATACTTTTTAGAGTGAAAGCGTGAAATTGCCGATCTAAGCATTTGAGAGGAACATTGTCCGCGAATCATCTATGTATATTAGGGTAAATTACACCCACACTCTTAAGGTATGTTTAAATAACTTTAAGGTCCTTTTGGTATCGATAATTACATTCACATCCTGAAACATAGTTAGAAACTCTAATATGATAATGCCATTTGGATACGTTATTCCGAATAGAGTTCTAACGGACTATTATTTTTAGCTAGTGGTGGAGACAACATAGAGTTAGGGGGTGACATGACTCCCCCAACATTTCTTAAATCACTCATAGCTCTTTGTTGTCTCCACACTAGCTAAAAGTAATAGTCCGTTAGAAATCTATCAGAATAACGTATCCAATGCATTATCCGATTAGAGTTTCTAACAATATTTCAGGGGGTGAGCTTAATTATCAATACTACATGGACCTTAAAGTTATTTTAGCATAACATAAAAATGTGGGTGTAATTTACCATATATATTATTGAATTGCAAGAAAAGTAACATTTGCAAAATTTTGATACTAAAATAATAAAACAAGAGTAAATTTAGAAAAGGAGGACATAAAATTGATTTGTTGCTACTGGTGATTTAAAAAGAAAAAGAAAAAAAGAATATAATAATTGAACAACGTCTTGTCGATTTGAAAAATAAACAAGCAAAATAAAAGCATCATCCCCAATAATCAATATATAAAAGTTCAAGTGACAATGTGTGGGGTGCAAAGATCTGACAAGAATCCTAAAAAGATGCCTACTAAAATGGAACGCTGACAACCTAATTCAGAGCTACTCTACTAAATTCTAATACTAAATATTGGTGGATTTCGTTTTAATTTAATTTGTGATGCAAGAAAAAAAAAATTAAAGAAAAAAAAAAGATGGATCTTGAAAAGATATAAGAGGAGGGATTCCAATTTCCACCTGATGTCAGTTAGAAAGGCTCCATCTTTTTCTAGGGTGAAATATATTTGGTAAAGAAGAATCTAGTGTCACACTCACTTTCTCCATATCACCATTTTACATTGTCTAACTTTTTAATTGAAGTGTATATATATATAGATGATTCCTAGATAAAATAAAATAAAGGGTAAATTACAACACCCTGGTTAAATTACAAAAATCCCTCTTTTATTTGGGTAATTACAACCATCCATCAACTATAAATCTTCTTACATGTCCACCCTTGCGATTTTAAGTTTAGTGGAATCTTCGAGATTATATGGTATATTATCACTTTTGTACCCGTTTTATCTCATTCGAACTCCACACTTTTGAAACAAGATGATCATAATATGTGTTTTGTAACTTGTATATATCAAAATGTGGTGCATCAGAAACTCTATTTTTACACAAAATGAGTACAAACTAGATCACATTCCACAAAATCTAGATGATTATGTTGAATATAACACCATCCATCCATAATTACTAAAACCTATGGGAATTGTTTACATTTAAAATTGTCCCTAACAATTTTAACGCTTAAAAAAAATTCCTTAAAAGTTTGAAACATATTCTTATAGATTTCGACAGCGGCGGTCACTGGTCGGCAAGAGCAACGGTGAACTTTTGGCCAACTTCGACTTTATATAGTTCCGCTCCGGCGACTTTTTACTGACAATTTTGACGACTTGTTTGGTGATGTTTATAGAGTTTCCGGATTTCAATAGTATCTAATAAAAAAAAAATTGATGTTGGAACAAAAATTTTGATTTCCAATTTTTTATTTACTATTATCGATTAATTTTGGATCAAATTTAGAATTGCTTTTCACTTTCGAAAAAAAAAAAAATACTTTTCTGAAAGTGCTAATTCAGCCCCTAATTTTACCCCACTAATTTGAGTAGCTACTAGGGGAAGCAGTAGAATAAAAGTGACTGACATAAGGACATATATAGAATAAATAAAAGAAATTGGCATACAATATTTATACTAGATCCCTAATACTGTCACTCAAAAGAATCACAATTGACACCCTTTTAAAGCTTTTTAGTTTTGGGGGAAAAAAAATAAAACACCCCTTTAAATAATAAACATTGCAATAAAAGTATAAAACTCTCAACCACAACCACACGTACAAAACAATCATATATTATTTCATAAGAAATATATAACAATGATGTTACCCCTCATGAAATAATATAATTAATATCCATGGCGATAAAATTAACATTTTTAAGGAATATTCGACGGAATAAAAAAGATTCGGCCAAAACTTAAACCGTAATAGTGACAGTGTAAAACGAAAACAAACTTAACAGGTCTTAGTTACCTTAGTAACTATTAATACAAGTGTTTTTTTTTTCTTAATTTATTAGGGGTTCTCAACTTCTCATAGGTGACCAACCCTCATTAGGAGAGTTGGTACCTAGCCTTTACCAATAGGGTAACGGTCTAGGGTTCGAGTCCCCCCCACCCCTATTTCCCCTTGTAATGGACTTGAATTTACTCAAAAAACTTCTCATAGGTGGTGTTTGCAAATGATTATTTAAAAGCAGAAGTTAGTGATTGTGATTTAAGTTAGTTTTAAGTGCTTATTTCTAAAAGTTGGGGGTGTTTGCAAATATTTCGGAAAATGAACTAAAATTGAAAAAGCAGGGTTATGGGTGCTTTTAAAAAAATAGCTTAAAGCAGATTATTTTAAGAGAAGCAAAAGCAAAAGTTGATTTTGCAAACACCTAAAAACAGATTATGAGTAAAAAAACCGCATAATCACTTTCAAAAAGCATTTGCAAACACCACCATAATGTACCAACATTTTCTTTAAAAAATACATATTATTTTAGCATTTTCTAGAAAATGGTAGTTCCAAATCCGAATGTTAATTATAACCTCCTTGCAAATGAACGAAATAAGGATCTCTGCAACATTCTCCATAACTTATCACAGAGAATCATGATAAGATATGGTTAGCCTAATTAACACTTTAATTAGGGAATCTTGAAAGGACAATTTTAATTAATTTAGATCAATGTTTCAAGCTATACTTCAAGCTAGGGTTTATGAAGGCCATAGCTCTATATATGTACTTCATTTCATTGTGATTAATTTATAATTAAGAAAGTCTTAATATTTGTACTGCCCTTTTCTCACTTGTGCTGATTAATCTTTCTCATCTTCCACTTCAATAACTCAAACACCACTATCAAATTACATTTACAATGCAAGTTTTGAGTATACCCAAATAAAATAAAATCTTGACTCTTACCTAGAAGGGGGTTTTCCATGAGCAAAAAGATAATGAATAATTACTATATATATATATATAATAATATAAAATCTTGACTTTTATTTGCTAGTAAGGGGGAAAAAACAACATTAACAAGAAAAAGAAATCCGGCCGGCCGACCACATATTTGATATATATATATATATATATTTGATCCAACGGTCAGAAATCCGGGATCAAGAAAAAGGGATTGAAGAAGAAGAAGAAGAAGAAGAATTGGATTCATCATCATGATTTCGGGCGGGTGCACCAGGTTTCTTCTTCTTCTTGTTGTAGGGAATCCCTCTCGCCTTAGACTGACACTCCTTAACTTCCCTTAAATACATCCTTATTGAACTACTTGCGAATGGGTTTGACTCCGGCGATCCTCCGTTCTCCTCGTACGCGGCGCGCAGCCGGCCGACCAGGGCATCTAGGCTGCCCCACGCCTGTCTCAGCGGGCAGGTGCATGGGGCAGGCGGCTCCGGCTGCCCGTAAAACGTGCACCCCTGCGAGTGAACCTTTGTCTTCCCAAACTGATCCAAATACCTCATGAAATCAAGCACGTGGCTACTGTTGCACTGTGCCACCCCCACCGCCGGCCTCATGTTCCTCAAGAACTGCCCGAATGTGTTCCAGTCTCTCCTCTTCTGTGACTCGTACCGGCTCGGCGTCGCCGCTGCCGCCGGATCGCCGCCGCCCCATGATGATGACCCTTCTGCCCCTCCTCTATCCATTATTATTAATAATAATTAAACTAAATTATAAAACTACATATGTTCTTCTGTCTAAACAAAGGGGGATTATAAGATGAAGAAGATCACATCAATAGGCGAAGTGAGTTGACACATAATGGGCCATACACAGAATTTGCTTTCCGTTTCTATCCTTCTTTTTTCTTTTTTTTCATCCAGTTGTTTTTATTTTTTACTCCTATGTTTTATTTTAAAATATATTGGCACGATAACAATATCGTTGAACGAACATCTCAACAAAAAATTTAAGTTGTTAGTACGTGTTCCCTTATGATGTACCGACAAATTACATTTGAAATCTTGCATTTAATTTGAAATATGTGAAATAATTAGCCATGGAATTCAAACTCAAGATCTTTATTTGATCTGACTCTCATACCATATTTAATGACCATCTCAACTGAAAATTTAAATTGATAGTAAAATATATTATTAAGAGATTAAATTCTGAGCGGATCAGCCCATATTTAATATAAATCGGATTCCACTAATTTTTTGACATGTGACACTCTCAAGTTTTAATTCTTAATAAATCACGCTTTAATAAATCACGCTGATTATAATTAGGGTTAGAGGGTTATGAGTTCTGCTGAAGTGTTTTTTTTTTTTTTCAATTATTAGAATTCTAATTATATTTTTATTTAAATTATTCACGTGTCAATCGTCCTATAGCATCCGATTTTTTTATTAAAACAGCTCATCCGATCTAAATTTGCACCCTATTAGATTAAATATTAATATTTCTAATAGTACACGTTGCAATAATTTTTGTGTGGGAATTGCCTGTCAAATATTATGATCCCCCACTCCAGCTAGTGTTGTACGATCAACCCTAAAAAAAATATTATTTCCTGCAAGTTGACAAAATGTAATCTCCATTGGTATCTCTAGGGCAGTGACTGCCAATAGCAGCCACCACTATTTTGTGTTGATTTGTGGTCTATGTTATATTATTTTTTTATTCATCTATTACGTCCAATGATGACAACGTTGGATTATTATAATAATAAATTACTATGGTACGTACTTTTCTTGTGCACAATACAAGGTAAGTAGTCTTTAAATTATGCGAGACCTGTTATTTAAAAAAAAATTAAAACTCCATCACACCACACATTTCAAAAATTAAAGCAAAAAATCAGACACCAATGAGTTATTCAAAGGGCTCCAAATGTTTTGAGATTATACAAAGACTTATAATTTTTTTGTTTGGTTGATATAACCCTTCAATATCTAATTTAATAGAGAGATGTTCAAATTCTTTTTGCTTTATTTGAGAAAAATACACTCGTAATTTCAGTCATCTATTTTTCTAATTATATATGTCCTTGCCACCTGATCATCAGCACTATCCGCCCATCAGCCGGTTTTCTTAAATTATTACTATTTTATTTATTTTTCTAATTTTTTTTTAATTTTTTAATTTTCTTTTAATTTTTTTTTAATTTTTTTTAACTTTGTTTTAATTTTTTAACATTTTTTCTCTATTATATATATTAATCGACTATGAAGCATGCTAATCGACTACGATGAATCATAGTCGATTAAGGAACCGACTAATATAAATAACAAATCATAACTAAAAAAAAATGTAAACTCAACTATATTTTACAAAAAAAAGATATACAAACATTATAATTGATTTATACAATTGAAATCAATAAACAAAAACTCTAAAAAAAAAATTGGAGTCGATGAAGCATATTAATCGACTATGATGACGCATAGTCGATTAATGAACTGATTACTAAAAATAACAAACCACAACTACAAAAAAATGCAAAATCAACTATATTTTACAAAAATAAAAAATATACAAACATTATAATTGATTTATACTATTGGAATTAATAAACAAAAAATTCAAACAAAAAAATAAAAATTGGAGTCGATTAAACTTAATCAACTATCAGAGCATAGTCGATTAGCTTAATCGACTATTGAACATGTACGTAGTCGATTAAGGTTTCAGCCTAAGCGAATTTCTCTACCCGCGTCATCCTCCACCTAATCTACCAAAAAACCCTAGATCTGCTCTCTCTATCAAAATCTGATTCCGGCGACAAATCGACAATTTTACCTCTTTTCCCCGCCGATATAGCAATCATGGCATTCGAATTCAGAACCCCTATCGAAATCATCATCATCTTTATGGCTTATGTTCAGATTTGCAAAATTTATAATTCCATGAAGGGGTAGAGAGCGGGAGGAGACGTCTCAATAGGGGAATTGAAAGCCAGAGAAGATGGATTAACCCGACGACGACGGAGGTGGCAATGACGACGACGGATTCAACGGGATTGACACCGTTGTTCTGGCAGTGATGTCGGTGGTTGGTTCTTCATCTTCCAATCAAGAGAGAATAACATACATAATTGAGAGAGAAAAGTAGAATACAAAAAGAAAAAAAAAACAGAGAAGAAACGGGAGAAGAGAATAGAAGATTAGGGTTCTAGAATGGTATAATAGACAATATAAAGGTTGTTTTAGAATTTAAAAAATAACATTTAGGTGGAATATTAGCTAATGGAATTTTCTCTAATTATTTTTGGGATGGAGTGTTTCCTTAACTAAATTTTTTTTCCTAATGGACCAAGCAAACCGGGTCTCCAAATTCTGTTTTGGAGACCCATATGGAAACCCGGTAGATTTTAAAGTCTCTAAGAAACTAAATTTCACAATGGAGGACTTTATAATTTTGAGTCTCTAGATCATATTACAGATTATTTTATATAGTAGATTCGGGCTCAAATTTTATTCATTTACGAGGTTGTAGACAATTAAATTTTATTTGAACAATCTTAATTATTTTTAATACACGTTTCGATTAAAAAATAATAAATTCTGAAATGATATGAAATGTTGAACTACAACCATTGTATATGATTTCAATTAAAATATTTGTAACCCCCACTGATTTCCACCGCCTTTCACTCCACATGTTTTTTTTTTCCTTTTATTTTATTTACTCTCCTCTAAACCTAATTCAACATAATAGAGCACGCCCCTCCTCCCCAATTTCATCCTTCTCTCTGTTCTTCAACACACTAGAAACAAAGAGGAAAAAAAAATATGCTACAAATTTCTTCAAGTAATTGACAACCAACCCAATCCTCTACTTCTCATTTCTTTAGTCCTCATTCACTAAACAATAAATCCAATCACATTCCCCTAAATTTGTACTAGCATTGAAGAGAAAAAAGAAAATAAAACTCACAATCTAAAAATTTAGAAGTGATGAAGAAGATGAAGAACAATTAGATGTATTTATGTCTTTTTAATTTTCTTTTCTAACTGTTGAAAACCAACGGCCATATTTGGAACTCATTCAAAATTTTATTTTTATTTAAAAAAATTAAATTCAAAATTTAAATGCAAGAAATTGAGTCTTATTTGAGTTGGGTCCCATGAAATATGAGTCTCCAACTAAAGACCTATATTTAGGAACAAGGATAAAGATTTTGCAAAAATCTATAAATTTAAAGTCCCTCTAAATTTCTTGTTGGTGTTGGATTTTCTTCCACAATTTCTACATTTTGTAACCAAATGGAGTTTGCTTACTTCATTAGAGATGTCCTAAGTACATTTGCTAATCCGTCACCATACCTTTTTTTTTTTTTAAATATGCACTTTCTCCTTCTAAGCTTGAGTTGCACTTCACTCCCATCGACCCTCATCGCAATGCATGTCTAGAATGCTCGTCGATTTAATTCATAGTTATGACATGGAAACACTTCTTATCCATTTATTTTGTCTTTTTTTTTTTTTTGTAAAAGTCAAACTTTGCGAGGCTTTAAAGTTTGAAAAAAAAGTAACTCCAATCAGTGGCGAATCCAGGATTTTTGCCAAGGGTGTTCGGAATTAAATATAGTAAAAAAGGTACAAGTTTACGGGGGTTCGGGGGCAGCGCCCCCGATTTTTTTTTTAATACTATGCACATTAAATAATAAAAATATGTAATATTTTCAAATTTAAAGGGATTATTTTACAAATTTTGGGCTAATTTAGGAAATATTTAGACATAAAATTGGTGAAAATATTAAGGAG